CCAGAGTGGTAGGATTACAGGTGTGAGCCTGAATTGAAGAGTTTTAAAATATATATTCTGAGGACTGGGCTCAGTGGCTCACACCTATAATCCTAGCACTTTTGGAGGCCAAGGCAGGATGATTGCTTGAGGCCAAGAGTTCAAGACAACCCTGAGCAAGAGAAACACCCCTATCTCTGCTAAAAATAAAAAAAATTAGCTAGGTGTGGTGGTACACACCTATAGTTCTAGCTACTCTGGAGGCTGGGGCAGGAGGTTCATTTAAGCCCAGGAGTTTGAGGTTTCTGTGAGCTAGAACAGTTATATAGATGCCACTGTACTCTACCCCAAGCAACGGAGCAAGACTGTCTCAAAAAAATAAATATATAGTATGTATCACACACAGGCACATGCACACATACAGATAGATAGATAGATAGAGATATTGGGATGTAAGTTGCTGATCCTTCTGATTGCTGGGTCTCCTCACGTGCTGTGGATCTTGATGCCATACTAGCCTTCCTCTTGGCTGCATGGGAGAAGCTTCTGCTGGTGATAGGAGGCTCGCCCACCTGAGGCTCTTTCTCCTCAGTGGCTCTCCTTCCTGGCCCCCACAGTACTGTGCTCTTCATATGTTTTGTTTTGGTTCTAAGCTTTGTGCCCCATGTCATTCATGTTTTTGAGGTTTAATATTCAGAAATTGATCTTTAAAACTCAAATTATTGTCTCTGACCCAAGCTTTAAAATCTATTTTAAAATTCAAAAGCAAGAATTTGATTTCTTTGCTGTCTGCCCCCCTGATACTTATGTTTTAATATGAATGGGAGCAGGGGCTAGGATGTAAGGGTTAGCACTGCAAAAATATTCTCTTGCTGTGTCAGATGTTTGTCCGGAAGCGAACCGAGTCTCATCAGGGGCAGCTGTGCAGGCAGTGACGCTCAGTGACAGAAGGGGTCCAGGCGTCACTCTGGACAGTGAACTCCCCGCTTCGAATTCCAGCTTCATGATCAGGGGTTTCATGTGTGTCCAGGCGGGTTAAGGTGTCAGAAGCACAACTGGAAACAGCTTTAGCAAAGAGGAGAATCCAATTTAAGGATACTGTGGTGTTTCATAAAACCCCAGGACCCGAAATCAGTTAGGCTTCGGGAACCAGCAGAATAAGGAATTCAGATGTAGTCACATTCTTCACCTTCCCTGTTCCCTGAAAACTGATATTTCCTAGTGACGTTTAGAGACAGCCTGATCTTTCTTTTTATTTTTGTTGAATTTTTTAACTTTTCTTTTTTTAAATTTCAGATTAACACGAGGGTACAAATGGTTAGGATACCACTCTTTGCATTTGTTAGGTAAAGTTCAAGTTGTAGTTGAGTCCTTCACCCAGGGGGTGTGCGGTGCACCCTACATTGTGCCCGTTAGGTGAGAGCTCACTGATCCCCCTCCCGCCTCCCCTCCTCCCTTGTCCTCTTCCCCTCCCCCATCTGAATGTAATTTTGTTTCTCTCATGTGGGTGTGGAGTTGTTTATCTATCGGATTTGCATTAGTATAGAGTCCACTGGATACTTGCTTTTCCATTCTGGGGAAACATAACTCAGAGGAATGTTCTTCAACTCCATCCAGGTTAATATAAAAGATGGAAAGTCTCTTTCTTTTTACGGCTGAGTAGTATTCCACGGTGTATGGATAACCACAGTTTGTTAATCCACTCACGTGTGATGGGCACTTGAGTTATTTCCACATTTGGGTGTTTGTCAGTTGAGCTGTGATGAACAGTCTAGTGCAAATGTCCTTATGGTAAAATGACTTTTTTCTTCTGGGTAGACACCTAGTAATGGGATTGCAGGATCAAATGGAAGGTCTCTTTTAGCTCTTTGAGGATTCTCCATACTTCTCTCCTTAGAGGCTGTATAGTTTGCAGTCCCACCAGCAGTGTAGAAATGTTCCCTTACCACGTCCCACCTGTGGCTGGGACTCTGTGATGTGGGCTATTCTCACTGGGGTTAGGTGACCTCTCAAGGTGGTTTTGACTTGTGTTCCTCCGATGACTTGGGACAATGAGCATTTCTTCATGTGTTTATTCGCCATTCATCTGTCTTCTTCAGAGTAGGTTCTGTTCATGTCTTTTGTCCAATGATAAATGGATTTTTTTTTGTCTTTTCTTGTTGATTAGAGTGAGTTTTCTGTAGATTCTAGTTATCGGTCCTTGTCAGATTTCTAGCATGCAAATATCTCCTTCCATTCTGAGGGCTGTCTGTTTGCTTTAGTTATTGTA